TTTTCTTTCCTATTTTCATTGTCAGTAATATACTCTTTCCCTTTGTCATTTAACGGAGGAAACCCAGTCATATTGATGATCCCATTATTAATAATGTTGATGGTGATTCTCATTTGAGTATGACCTTTATATTTTTTTGAAAAAGAGATATTTATTATTTTTTAAAATGATTTCCTATTTCATATAGTTTCTCTTCTTAGTTTTATTTTTTAATTTTAGTTCTTTGCTTCTTACTTAATTTTTTTTTTTCTTTTTCATATTATCCGATACTTGTTTCTCTTTATTCCTTTCATTATTTTCAAGTTATGTTATAGAAACAAAAATTAAAAAAGTTTGATTTTGAAAAACAGGAAAAAAATAAAACGAATTAATTCTTTTGAAACAGAAACAAAACAAATCTTTTGTTTTTAAAAGAAAATTTGGTATTTTAAGCCAAACAATAATATTGTTTCCCTCTTCAAGAATCAAAAAACTCAATGTACAAATTTTGATAGTAATACTATTATATCCTTTTTTCATTTATTCTTTAAGTGCTGATTTATATAAACATTGACTATAATATTGTAACTACACTAAATGTGTCTCTCAAAATGGAGATTTTATCATTTTATTTTTGAAGACACGAAAGACAAAAGTATCAATTAATTTAGTTTTGAGAAAATAACAAATATTCTAATACTTTAAAAAGGCATTAAGAACTTTTCTGATATTATTTAGAATAATTGAATTTTTTTCATTGAAAAGAATGAATAGATAAAAAACATTAAAAAACTATTAAAAAAGTTTATTTAAATAAGAAGATGATTTTTGTTATAAATTACAAAACATTTCTAATTTTATTGCATCATAAAAATAAGATTTTCTAAAAATACAACGAAGTTCAGAAGGGTAAAAAGAAAAGAAATAAAAATAAAAAGAACTCTGAAGAATTCATATAAACGTGAATGAGTGTGGATGATTATGATTATCTATATAAAGTAGTAATGATAGGTGATTCAGGAGTTGGAAAATCAAATTTATTATTGAGATTTACTCGAGATGAATTTGATCCTGAAAAGAAATCAACTATTGGTGTTGAATTCTCTTCTAAACAAATTAGATATAATGATGAAACAGTTAGGACACAGATATGGGATACTGCTGGACAAGAGAGGTATAGAGCGATTACTAACGCTTATTATCGTGGTGCATTAGGTGCAATACGTTTGTTAAAAATTTCAAAATTTTGTTACTAAAAAGGTAAATGTTACTAAACAATCAGTTGTTTATGATGTAACTAAAAAGTCTTCATTTGAATCACTTGATCGTTGGCTGAGTGAATTACGAGATAATGCTGACAAAAAAGTTGTTGAAATGATTGTTGGAAATAAATGTGATTTAGAACAAATGAGAGAAGTAACTATAAAAGAAGGAGAAGATATGGCAAAAAAAATAGGTGCTTTTTTCTTTGAAACATCAGCCCTTGATGGTAAGAACGTCGAAACTGCATTTATGGCTATTATTCAAAAAATATGTGATGAGCAAACAAGACTAAGAGCATCAGAAACAAAACCAGTCATTAAACCAATTTCAGATAGTAAAGTGGATATTGACAAAACACCTGAAGAACAACAAACACCGAAAAAAAATGGTTGTGCTTGTTAAATTTAACTTCTTTTATTTTTTAGGTTTTTATTTATTTTATTTTTTCTTTTTTTTTTTTAATAATTTTGATAAACCTCAAACAAGAACTTTCTATTTGGTTTATATCATCCTCAAAAGTTAATGAAACAACTTGAAAAGGTTTATTTATCAATTGTTCTTAATTATTTAAAACATTACAGCGTTATTGCTAAGTTCATTTTAATTAATAAAAAGTGTTGGGATGTTTGCCAAATGATGAAAATAAACCCAATGGCTATTGATAAAATGGGTCAACACTCTTATATGTATATTCTTGAACCTGCTTCCCAACTTAAAAATGAACTAGAAATATTAAATAGAATTGATACAATTAAAATTACAGCTGACTTATTCTTAGTGTTTCTCAAACAATTAAAAGAGAAGAGTCAAGACCTTGTTATTCAAAACAGGTTTTATTCTTATAATTTTAAATTTTTAGAAGGTTTTGAAAAAAGAATTCTTAATATTCATCTTTATGTTGATGAATTACATCATTTTGAAGGAAGTTTTAAAGAGTTTGTTCATCTTCAACAGTTAACTATTGAATCAAATAATGTTTCTCTTAATCTACTTAATATCCTTCCTGACTCTCAACAATTTATGAAGTTACTTCATGTTATTGGAAGTTTTGATCAAGAATTTGTTAAACATATTCCAGAGTATAGAATACAAAGAGTTATTATTGAATCTTCTCGTTCATTTATAGAATCCCTTCCTTTTTCAAAACCACTTTCAAAAGTTTTACTTATTTCTAATGATTGGAAAGATACAGATGTAAATCATCTCACTACTCATCAAAATAAAGAAGGGTGGTTGAAATGGAATATCAATGAATCAAACCATTGTTTATTTAACCAATTATATTATCCTTCTAAATTAATCATTCATGGACAAGGGTCAATAAATTCAAACTATGATATAAATGATGATTCTGAGAATATTGTTAGTGGTATTAATTTTTCAAGTTATACTCAATTATGTTCACTTTCACTTCAAACAAACTCAGTACCAATTACATTTCCTTCATCATTAACTTATCTGGAAATGAATTCCCCTTCAGAAAATCCTTTAATTAATTGTCCAGTATTATCTTCGTTTAGCCTTGTTAATACTCAAAACCCAATCACTCTTTCATTTTCTTCTTGTCTTACTTCTATTAAATTAACTCATTCACAATGTATAATAGAAGGTCCACTTCCTCAAATCAAAGAAATTGAACTAAATAGTTCAATCCTTTATAATGACTTTGTAAAAATGACTTCACTTACAAAAATGGTTCTTATTGAATGTTCAATAATCTTTACTCAACTTCCAGACTCTTTATTAGACCTTTCTCTTATTTCATGTAAATCTCGTAAATCCATTCCAAGTACATTTCTACCTTCTCATTTATTATCTATTAAAATACATTCTTGTGACTTCCTTTTTCCAATGAACTTTCCTCAATCTCTTCAGTCATTAGATCTTTTTATAGAAAATGAAGTTACAGAGTGTGTTGATTTGATGCCCTTAAAATTAAGTTCGTTGTACGTAAGAGGTACTTTAAAAAATGTAGTTATTCCTACAACTTTACAGAAACTTTATTTGTACGGAATAAAGGAAAATCTTAATATAGACTTGAGTCATTTTTCTAACTTAAAATGTTTTGCCTATGAAAATGGTAAAGAAATAGACTCCTTCGTGTTACCAAGTCATCTTCATTTACTTAAAATTCAGCCAATTGTCCCTCGTCTCCAGATAAACCAAGTAGATTGTATTCAGTGCATTAACTTTGAAAATGAACAACCTCATTTTAAAAATTTCCACACTAATTTTTTGGGAGAAATATGCTCTATTTGAGTTATTTTTTTAAGTTTCTTAATTTTATTTTCTTAAATCTTATTAAAGATAAATTATACTAATTATTATTGGAAAAATTTTTTAAATAACAAAAATTAATGAACAGCTATAATACACCCGTTTGTTTATCTAATTTTTACTTTTTATATTTCAAATAAATAATAATGAATAAAAATTATTCCATTTCAATTACAATGATTCGTTGTAGTGTGAAATATTCTGGATATTGTTTTCCAGAAAGTGAATTTGATATTCCTTATATTCAAATAAATGTTGTTACAATATGACTTTTGTTTTATCATTTTCTTTATAAACAATAATATCATCATATCCAAACAACCAATTATCTGATTGATTACATAACTAAAACGCACGTTGTGGATATTTGATATCAAATTTCATCATTTCTTTTATTCTTCCTTTTGATTTTAATGAAAATAAAAATAATTTTGGATCATTTACATCTTCTTCATCAACTTTCACATTAGTATATCTTCCAAATTTATTTCCATCTGAATCTTCAATAATAATTATTATATGTTCTTTATTTATTATTCTTTGATCAAATATTGATGTATACATATTCCAATTATTAACAACTGAATCAAATAGTATATTTCCTATTTTTTATTTGTTTCATTTCTTCTTGTTTCTTTTTTCTTATAGTTTTTATTATTTCTTCTTCTACTTTCTTTGTTTTTTTCTCCTTCTCTCTTTTTCTTTTTCATCCTCTCTAAATAATCACTGTAATATGTGTTCAATTCTTTTTTCTTTTTGTTAAATTCTTGGGTGATTTTGTTGCTTTCTTCTGGTGTTCTGAATAGTTTATTTTTCATGTTCATTTATTCAATTGAAATGATTGTATTGATTATTTCATTCCGTGTTTTACTTAGTATTTCAGAATCTGAATTACATTCTTCTATTATTTTCTTCATTTGATTCTTTATTATTCTAGTGTTTTAATTGTTTCTTGACTTTTTTCTATTACTTTATTTCTTCTTCTTTCTGTTTCATCATTTCTGTTAAATATTCATTCTCCTCTTTTAATAGCTTCTGAATATGTTTCATTTGGTTTTATTTCAAATATTTCATTTTTAATACATCCTAAATAATAATTATAATATTTATTAATATCATTAATTGATTGTTGAATATTTTGAATTGTTTCTATTTCTTCTTTAAAGAAATGAGTGTTCTTATTTATTAACTCTTCCATTTTAATTTAATGAATATAAGATCAAAATAAAATGACTAAATAAACAAACATATTATCTAGTAATAAAAAAGAATTAAAAATGAGTTGTAATTTTGTTATTGCTCTTTCTTTATGATGTTATTAGATTCCATTTCAGTTTTTATGAGATCTATATGTTCTTTATTTACTTCAACCTTACAAAAAATTTCCCAAATTTTATTCAGAACACATTCTATTTCATTGATTTTAGAGTTAAATTCAAAAATTGGGAGTGAGTCATATTTTTCTTTAACATCAGAATGTTCAATAGTATTTCTCATATTATCATATATTTTTTTTAATTTTAGTTTCACACGAATTTCATTTCTTTTAATATAAATAGTTTCTTCTTTAGAAGATAATTCTTCTTCTTTTATGCTAAGAAGATTTATATCAAAAACAGTTTTTTTAGCTTTTTCTTGTGATTGATTCCATTCTATTTTTAATTGTCCATCTTTATACAAATGACAATATAATTGAATTGTTGCTGGTAATTTAATTTCAGAAGGAAGTTCTAAGACTAAATTATTTACTTTTTTAGATTCATTAGCTACCACAAACTCTCCGAAGTATAAAGGAATTGTAATTTTACTTTCATTTACATTTACTGTTAAATCTTTTTGATGTGGTAATTCATTTCCTTTTTCTACTAAAAATATTATTTTTCCAAATCTTCCTTCAATTCCAATAGAAAATGGTGCAGTTATTAATTTTTTTTTCATATGTTTTAATTGAGTCATAACAAGTCCATATGCAATTGCATGTTTATTATCAAATGAGCTATTTAATTCTAATTGAGAATCTTGAAACATAAAATTTATCATATTTTTGAAAGACTGTATATGAGAATATCCTCCAATACATAAAACATTATTTATTTTAGATTTTTCTATTTTGCATGACTCACATAATCCTTCTATCATTTCTTGAATTTTCTCAATATCACTTTCAATCATTTTATTAAATTCTTCTTCTGAAATTTCAAAAGTAGTTAATGACGAGTTATTATCTTTTGCGTTTTTATAAGTAATACCCTTTAAAGAAATTATTAACTTACCTTTACCAAAAATGTATTGGTAAAGATTATTTTTAAGTTTTAGCCTTATTGATTTTTTTTCAAACATTTCTTTATACTCTTGTAATTGAGGATCATTTTTAACTCTTTCTATAATTTTATCCTCAATAGTTTTTCCACTAACCGTTTCATTTCTTTTGAAACCTATAATTTTTTCTTCTGTTTTTGTTACTTGAATTAGACAGACATTCACCTTTTGTTTAGCATAATCAATGACCATTATTATTTTATCACTGTCATCATTTTCATCAAGAGGATTTGATAGTGCTGCTGCTTGCATTTCATCTTTTATAAAAACATTTTGAACTTCTTTTTCTTCTTTGAAATATTCAATAACTTTTGTCATTTGCTCTTCGTATATTTCATTTGCTTCATGTGGAATAGAAACTAAAAATATTGATTGACTGTCAATAGGTATGTTAGACTGTTCAAGTAGACAGTATACTTCTTTAAGACAATGTCCTATCACTTCTGTTAATCCAATAAATTGATTAGTTATTCTATCTTTTTTAATAAAAAAATTAAATTGTTTGTTGTCTGTGTCAACTTTTACATCAGAGATTTTACGTTCCTCAACACTATCTTTAATTTGTTCTAACGTTTTTCCCATCACCTCTTTTGGAGTGATAATATTCCTCAATGAAAAACTCTCGTTTGTCAAAACTAAACCTTGTCTCCATTTGAAGTTCATTAAACACTCAGCCTTATTCGTAAAATTAACAGTGTCAATTGACTTTGTTAATGGATTATAATAACAAGCCTTGACGGTATACCACCCTATATCAATACCGACAATCAAAGTCATTTATTTGATTTACATTTTTTTAAGTTCTTTTATTAAAAAGAATAAAATTTATTGAAAAAATATTGAATTAAAAAAAAGTTATAGTTTAATTATAACAACTTATTTCAATTATAGTATGGTATAGTTTATATGATTCTTTTATTATTTTTTACAATTTTATAAATAGATTTCTTATTTTTCTATTTAGAAGGTTGTTATTCATTTTTTGTTTGACCATCAACTTGTAGTTATCAAAGGGTTTATTAATAATATCTCTTTAAATAAAGTGAAAGAGATAATAAGATTTATTGTATCAATCATTATATTCAATGCATATCTTGTTCATTATTTGATTTGATATTCTGTGATCAATTAAAAAGTCAAATCAGAATAAATATATTACTCTAACTAATGAACTTCAATCTCATTATTTAGTATTTCAACATAAACATCATTTTGTTATGAAATAAGTCATAATTCATTTGAACATATTGAAATTTAGTAGATAATTTAATTAGTATTTTTATCAAAACATTTGTTACAAGTTATTTCAATTAGAATGAAATAAAATGAAATTAATAAATTATTAATCATACTTAAAACATCATAAAAATAAAACACTAAAATATTTGGTATTATTACAATATATAACCAGAAAGATATATGAACATTTTTAGAATTTCACTTATATTTAAATTAATTGGTATGCCAAATAACCAATAAATATCTTGTTTTCATTATTTAAAACAATACAAACTAAAAAATGATTTGGTTTATATTCATGAATATGGTTTATTTAATAAATAATTTTTAAAACTTACTATCAAACATCACTAACTTAAAAGAATAAAAGAGTAAAAAAGAAAAAACTAAAGAAATTCATATTTTATTACAATTGAATATAATAATAAAATCCAATTAAAATATAATAAAAGAAAAATTAACACTGATTTGATTCTACTTAGACTATATTCTACTACTGCAATTTCTTTTATTTTACAAAACAAAGAGAAGACACTAAAAAGTAATGAAATTCTGTTAAACAATTAGTGTTCTTCTTCTACAGAAGGTCCTTCTTGTGGTTGAGTTGGTAGTTGAGTTTGTTGTACCCTTCCTCTTCCAAGAAAAGTACCCCGTGCAGCAGATTTTTCTGTAGTTCTAAACAAAACAGAACGTCTTGGTTGATTAGTTGGAGGTGATGATTTTTGATTTGAAAGTACTTCTATTTCTTCTTCAGTAACACCAAGGGAAATTAACTTTTGATGAAATTCATAAATAATTTTGTCTTGTTCAACTGCTTTTGATATTAAGGCATCAACCCTCCTTTGTAATGACTGCACTTTTTGAGTATCATTCATACTATCATTTATCGGTGGTAAAATAAGTGCTTGAAGAGAAGTATCATGAACATAATACTGAGAGGCACAACGAGTAGTAATTCGTGCTCCAGCAAATGCATTAATTTTTGCTTTTTGTTGTTGCTCAGGTGATTTAGTACTAGGTGAAGATGCCTGTTGTTCCGAATGAGGAATAAGTGGAATTTGTTGGACTTCATCAGGTATCTCTACGTTACGAATTGGAGAAGGAGGTGAGTTTCTTGTTCCAATATTAATTGTAGAACCACTAGACTGATTTGTTGTGTGACTATATTGCCTACTAAGAAATCCATTAGGAGAAGATGTACTAATTTGACTTGAACGAGGTCCAGTAGTTGTTGGTTGATTAAGGTGTTGAAGAAAAGCATTTCTTGATTTAGAGGGTAAAAAGGTAGTGTTGGGGATTGACTGGTCTTGTTGTGGACTTGTTGATTGATATTTTTGATATTGACTAACATAAACAGATTGCATAACTGGTTGTAATGGTTTGGAATTGACTGGGTTTTCAGAAGTATTACTATCAAATGAAGGACTAATATTTTCAATTTTAGAGACTAATGATTGATTTCTTTTATTCACAGCATCTGAAATCATTTCAGAAGAAATAGATGAGATAGGAATTATTGCAGGATAAGTTGGTGGTATTATTCCAAGTTTATGATTTTCTTTTTCTATTTCATAGAAAATATCAGTAAAATGAGTAATCATTGAATCTATTATAGTACGAAGTTTTGGTGTATCAGTCATTTCTCTAGTCATATCATTGTCTGGACTTCTAAATAATGATGGACTAAAACAGACACAAAGATTAGAACTTGTCATTTGATTAACAGAAGTGTTTTGAATAACTTTAGAAAGAAAACGCATAATCAACCATAGAGTGTTCTTATTAATATCAGGAAATGTTTGTATTTGTTTTTTAATATCTTTGTTAAGGTCAGATGATGTTGATAATTCTAAAAATGTATTGTACATACTTTTAGGAATTAAAGAATCAGGAAGTTCACGTAAATATAATTTTATTAAACCGGCAGCTACATGTACATCTCCAATAATTTGCATTGTAACATCTTGTCCACCATCAAATATTTCTTTTAAACGTTTTGTTTCATCAATAGAAGAAGATAATCTGAAAATCCCTTCTGCTCTTAATCCATCATTTTTCTCTAAATATTCTAAACATCGATAAATAGGAAGTGGAAATCTCCAACCACTTTTCTTTACTCCAACACTCAATGGAACTCCAAACACCTCATTACATCTCATTTTTAAAGGGATGATATTAAGCCAAGAAGAATATTCAATATAATTTGGACAAATAAATTGATATAACTTATCATAAGCAATTTCAAAAGCAAGTTCTTCTTGTTCTTTAGGAAATTTTTTAAGCCATGTAAGTTTCTTATGAAATATTGCAACACTCATTGTAATACTTATCTTCTCTTTTAAACGATCTCCTTGGTGATATATTTTAAGACAATCATTTTTACATTCCATTTGGACTTTTGTAAATTTCTTAAATGTACCTCCTCGAATCTCTATTGCACCAATATGTTCTGACATAACAATTAGATTTTTAAGTTTGTTTACTAATTAAACAGTCAAATTGGAGTTGGTTCTTTTCTTGAACCTCCTTTTTCTTTTTTTAACCTTAAGTTCTTTAAATAAAAGAGGTTTTTAGTTTATGTGGTGACATTACTTCAATTATTGTCAATTCAGATAAATAATAAAAAATATAACTTTTTTTAATATTTTATTAATATATCTATATTTTATTTCTTTATTTTATTTTATAGTTCTTTCATATTTATGTTATATAAAACGTTATATTATAGAATAAAAAAATTTAAAGAAATAGTAATATTATAATAAAATTATAGAATCTGGAAAAATAAGAAAACTAAGAACCCTTGAGACACATAGACGATGAAGGAATACTACATCACTGCCAGATGCACTGATAAAGCTCATAACCCAAATGAAATCTTTAGATCAAGAGTTTTTGCACCAAACTATGTTGTAGCTAAATCCAAATTCTGGATGATGTTAAAGAAACAACACAAAGTCAAGAAGATTAATGCAGAACTTCTTCAATGCCAACCAATTTTTGAAAAGAACCCAACTGTCGTTAAGAATTATCAAATCTTCTTGAGATATGTTTCTGCTGGTGGAATTCATAACATTACTAAACAATATAGAGATGTTACTAGAGTTGGTGCTGTTAGACAAATGTATAATGACCTTGCATCACAATACAGAACAAGACAAGATAAAATTCAATTAATTAGTATTACTACTGTTGGAGATAAAGCCGTCAAGAATCCAGTCCTTCACCAATTTGTTGGACATCATGTTAAATTCCCAATGGTACATTGCAAACCAGTTATTGCATCAAAGAGATTCAATCTTCCAATTAAAGCTGGTAAATTGACTACAAAGCTTTGCTAAAGTAATCGTCTATTGATTTGTCGAATAACACTTTTTGTTTCTTGAAAGAATTGTTTTGAAAAAGATAAAAAAGAAAAGAACTCTTTTTATTATATAATTGATTATATGGTTCGTTTTGCACGTCCATTTTGGATTGAGCATGAAGGTTGTCCAATCTTTAGTGTTGATACATCTCCTGATGGAAAAAAATTTGTTACTGGAGGAGGTGATGGAAAGGTTCGAGTATGGAATATTGAAGCTCTTTCAGACGAAACCATTCAACCAAAATTATATGGTGTAATTCATGTATCAACATTACCAGTCAATATTTGTCGTTTTTCCCCTGACGGAACAATTTTAGCAGTTGGAAATGATGATAAAATTGTGTCTTTATGGAAAAGTGAAGGAATGAAAGATGAGTTTGAAAGAGATAAAGAAGGAAATGTCTACTGCGAAGAATATTTAAATATTGGAAATTTAAGAGGTCACGTACAAGAGATTACAGACATTAGTTGGTCTCCTGATGGAAAATTTCTTGCGTCTTCATCTGCTGATAATACCGTAACTATATGGGATATTACAAAAATGGAACTTAAAGATGTGTTTAGAGGTCATAATTCAAGTGTTTTTGGAGTGGCTTGGGATCCAATTAATGAATATATTGTATCAATGGATTTTCAGAAAGTTGTTATTTGGGATATTAAGACATTAGAAGAAATAGCTAGAATAGAAGACGTTTATAAAACAGCAAATCATGGAAATTTTAGTAGTAGAATTAGTTGGAGTCCTGATGGTATGGATATTGTTGTAGGAAGTGCAGTAAGTAAAAAACGACATGTTGCATTATTAATTAAAAGAGACAAATGGGCAGTACAATTATTAACAGCACATCTAAACGAAGTAATATGTAGTAGATTTTCTCCAGAAATTTATACATATACAAAAGAAGGAGGGAAGAAAAAAAGTGCATTTTGTATATTTGCTACAGGTGGAATGGGAGGTGATTGTTGTATTTGGGAAAATAAGAAAGACATAGATTCTATTTGTTTAGTTACTGATGTTTTTGATAATTCTATTCAAGACATTGCATGGGCAAATCATGGAAAGATGATATTACTTGTTGGACTAGAAGGGTTTCTCGCATGTATTGAATATTCTAATGAGGAACTTAAAGGAGAAGTACTTAAAGGAAAAGCTAAAAGTAAATTACTTAGTTCAATTCATCAACGGGAAATAGAAATTGCAGAATTAGAACGAGATAAAAGAAAAGAAATGAAAACAAAATTAAGTGAAGAAGAAAGTGAAGAACTGTTAAATCCAGAAGATGAAAAACAAAAAATAGAAGAAGAAAATGAAGAACGAAAAAGAAAAATTACTGATGATGGATTAACTGAAGAAGAAAGAAAACAATTAGAAGTGTTTGATAAAATGAAAATAGCAAAAGAATTAAAAAAAAATAATAATAAAAAAGTTGATATAAAACGTCCTGAAATAAAAAAGAATGAACCAATTAAATCAAATGGAATTACAACAAATTCTCTAATAAAAAAACAAGAAATAAAAGATGAAAGTAGAGAACAACAATTACAAAGAGAACGTGCTGAACGATTAGAGAAAATAGATAAAATGGAGTTTAATAAAAATATTAAGAAATTAGAAAAAATTGATCAATTAGAAGAAAAAATCAAATGGTTAAATGAAAGAATAGAAAAAATTGATTGGGAAAAAATAAGTCAAAAAGTACATCAATTAGAATTAAGTAAAAATGAAGAAAAACAATTTTTATTACAACAACCAGTTGTTAAACCATTGAGTTGTAATTCAAGAGATCAAAATGGAAGTGGAGTTATTATTAAAGGAATACCAACGACCTATGGAAAAAAGATGTTTACATGTTTAAAATGTATTAAAATAATAGGAGATATTATGTATTGGGAAGCAGCGTTACCATATGAATTGGTAGTACTTAATTGTTATAACAATAAAGTTATTACAGTTTCAAAAGAAAATATAATTATTCTTCTTGACTCATTTAGTGGAAGTATTTGTAATGTTCCATTAATGAATAATGGAATTATTTATAATGCTTTTTATAGTGAAGGATATTTAATTGTATTAGAGTGTAATGGAATAATAAAAATATATAATAATCAATTTGAATTAACTAAAGTTGTAAATATTGAAATGTTATTAACTCAATTATCAAATAAAAAACCAACAAATATTCAATTCATAAACCATAAAAATATCATTGTTTCATTTGATAATGAAATGGATATTCTTGTACATCAAGGATCATATAAAATAATACGTTGTCTTATTCAAGAAGATGAAAAAAGAAGAAATATTTCAATTTACGAAAAAAGGAAGGTTGAACTTGAAATCATTGTAATGCAATTATTCAATGAATGGGATGAAAAAGTATTTAAACAAACAATAAATAAATATATTGACGCTTTAAAACAAACTAAAGATTTCGGTAGAGCTAAGGTGATTATTAAAACATTAAACCAACTTAAAATAAAATGGCCCTCGAATGAGAGTTGTATAAATTTAAATCAACAAGAACTTATTGAATGGTTAACAATTAATGGAATAAAATAAAAAATAAATAATTATTAAAAGATTTAATTAATAAATATTTTGAGATATTTTATTTTTAGAATTATCTATTAAAAAAAAATCTTAAAAAATTGAGAATAAAAAATGTAGTTCTATTTATTGTTTTCATGAAAACAAAAGTTTGTGGATGTCACTTTTTTAGTTTAAAAGATTTACTTGTTAATACTTATCTCGAAGAAAGCACGTTTGTATATTAAAATAAATAAAATTGTTATTATTACTTTTTTTAATTTAATTATATTAATACATGTTGATAGCTAAACCATTCCAAACTAAACTAAATGAAATTCCGTCAACATATTTAAAAGATGGTATCCCTTTATTCTTATGGGAAATTGGACGAGCCTTATTAGATCGTTTGTTAGTTCATTTATACAAATTATTAAAAAACATTTAATCCATCAACTCAATAGATCCATGCGAGGGTATATTCAGAATAACAGGAGATATAAAAGAGGTACAAAAGATGAAAAATGATATTCATAAGAAAATAGATATTACTCAAAACAAAAAATTTGAGTCAGACATGTACTGTTTTTCCTCTATAATAACATCATTTTTAAAAGACCTTCCATCTCCAATTTTTACGTATTCAGATAAAAATATGTTTTCATCAGTTATTTCCCAGTTTAAAGAAATTAATGATTTACCTAAAACTGTTACTGCACTAACATTAGCAATTCGAAGAATTGATCCAATTAAACGAAGATTTTTAATATTTATGCTCAATCTATATTATTCTATTGCTCAACAACAAGAAATCAATAAAATGACTATCAGTTTGTTATTTTCCTTTTTTAAGGTTTTATAATTATCAAGTAATTCTTTAGACTATCTTGGTATATGTGTTGCTCCATCTTTTTTTTCACAAGAAATTACTTATATGACTACTACTGAAAAAAATGTTGATTCTCAAATAAAAATTATGACTTTACTAATTGGATTATATCCACTAATTTGTTCTGTTTGTATATTGTATTTCAATTATTGAATTAAATTAATAACTCTTAATTTATATAGGGATTTGAAGAGTCAAAGAATGTTCTTGAACAAAGATATAACCTTACTCCTCAACAACTCTCTGACTATATGAAAAATCCATCTTCTTATTCAATTGATGGAATTGAATTCAATACTTCAAAACAATCATCTAACCCCTCTGTTTCTTTAAGACGAACCAAAAGCATGGCTTGAACTTTAGTTCTCTGAATTTGACTGTTTTTTGTTTTTCTTTTTATTAATTAAAAAAAAAATGGAATGATTTATTTTAGTAAAAGTTAATTTTAGAATGTCTCATTTTTATAAGATTTTTTTAAATAGAATTTTTACTTGAAAAGAAATATAGAAATAATTAAAAAAAAAATATAAAAATAGAGTAATATGCTTTTCTTTTTGGTTATCACCATTTGTCTTGCAAAGTTAGAGATTCATGTCTTTGATGTTGGACAAGCTGACTCTCAACTAATATTATTTCCAAGTGGTTATTCTGTACTAATTGATCTTGGGGAAAATCTTAAAGACTATGAACCAACTAATGTTAATTACGTAGCATCTAAGTTAGAAAAACTTTTACCTTCCAAACATCTAGATGTTGTTGTATTAACCCATCTTCATGTGGACCATTATGGATATTATGGGCACAATGGACTGTGGTATCTTTTTGAAGAACTTGGATTTACTGCTGGAAAATATATTGAAAGAGATTTTGGTTTATATAACGGTTCTTCAAGGGCTAATTGCACAGCAGAAACATTCCAATTTAATAATGTTGGAGAGTATTCAGGTTCAATGTTAAAATGGGGTTGTTATTCATCTAGTCTTATTGACAAAACTAATGTAAGTTCAATTAGGGAAGTGGCTAAGTTATGTTCACATAAACAAATTAATCCACCAGACTCTGACACCCAAGTTGAAATTTTTATAAGAGATGCTTTAGGTGTTCTTCAGAAAGATAATACAACTGTTAGTGGAAATCATAAAGGAGAAATTCCTGCACCAAGTGAAAATGATTATTCAATTGGTATCAGAATCCAATTTGGTAATTTTGTATATGTAACTAGTGGAGATTTAGATGGTAGCTATTCAAGAAGTTTTGATAACTCTATCAATGATGTTGAAAATGCAGTCAAAGACATTGTTGGGTCCGTCGATGTTATGCACGCTAATCACCATGGGTCTCAAACATCAAATACTGCTGGTTGGCTTAGTACTTTAACTCCGACTGTGTCAGTAGTTTCTTGTGGTGAATCAAATACTTATAACCTTCCAAATCCTACTTCAATTAATCGAATGGCTGAGGTAAGCGAAGACATCTTTGCAACTGAAAGGTGTAATGATAAAGTTAACAACACTAAGTACTATGAGATGAACGGAGATATAATCATATCAGTAGACGAACAATCATCAACTAGATTTACAATTTCTAATCCTTTAAAAACTTATGAAAAAAGCTATGAAATCAAAACAAATAAACCTGAAAGAAGACAATGCGTTGGAGAAGAAGATGTTGATGAAAATTCTTCAAACAAAGTTGCTACTCTGTTTTTATTTTTGGTTGTTATTCTAATCATTTAATTTAATTTTCTAGATAGTTTATTTTAAAGATTAAACAAAGTATGAACCTAAAAAAGAAAAAGAGTTAGAAGAGATGAGAAAGAGCAGCAGTAAGAGAAAGAAGGATTTTGTTGTGGTCAGTAGTATTAAAGAGAGAGAAGAAAGAAGAGAAGCCAAAGAAGTTGAAAGAGAAAACACAGCCAAGAAGAAAACCATCATAAGAAAAGAAGTTAAGTGTAAATGGGTAAACTTTGAGTTTAATCCAAGAGAAGGAACAAGATGGTGGGGAGAGGTTGATAGTGTTGAAGTCAAAGAGAAAGTGTGGGTGGTGGGAGATTGAGCCACTGAGGACGCCATTGAAGTTTGCAGCATTGTCGAATGTTAAGAGGTCATTGTTACCAGTTTTGCAGGTATTATCATCAATGACAAGAACATCAGGGAATAGATTTGTGATAAGATAGCGATTAGAAAGAGAGGCGATTTTTGGACGAACCAACCAGCCAAAGGTGTTGTAAGCGAAGAGGTTGAAGAAATCGAAATATGAAAGTTTACGACGAAGTAAAGAAAGGGTAATAGGATGGAGGGCAAGAAGAAGACCAGTCACACCAGCACAAGAAGGGGGAAGAATTGGAGAAGAGACAGAAGAAGGAGTCAGAATAGAAGGAAGGCAGGACGCAATTCCAACATCAATAATATACTTACTTTTTGATGTATAGTTGAGGTGAATAGGCTTTGATGACCTCAATAAGTCATACTGGAGTTTACGAGAAGGGTCAGTAAGGATAGAGTAAGCACGAGTAATTTTTGCATAATGAGAATCACCAGGATGAGTATCGGGATGGTGTTGCTTTGTCAGTTCAAGAAAACGAGAGTGAATGAGTTGTTGAGAGGCACTAGGAGAAACACCTAGAATTACATAAGGGTCATCACATGATCTGACACACAAGGTTTGATAATGGCACAACATTCAAAACAAAAGAAAAAGAATTTTGAGATTAACAAACACAAAATAAACAAACACAAACAATAAAACAAACATGAAACAACATAACCAACAAAAACAATAATACCACCTAAAAACAAAAGATAATCACACCAATAAACAATATCTTTTCTTCTTTTTATTTATTCTTTCTTTTTTGATAATTATAGTATTATTAAATAATACTACTTTTTTCATCATTATAATTACTTTTTATACTATTTTAAATTGGTTTTAATAATTACAATATTGTCATGATGTTCAATGTATTAATCAAAGTATTATAATGTCATAAAGACTATTTCTAAGTATGTTTGTTGTTTGATTGTGTTCATTTCTGGTGAAATACTTTTAATGAATTTTGTGATTATAATTTAATATTATTAAATAAATCATTCTTGTCCATTAAGTTTTAATAACAATTATCTTGTGCTCTTGGTATGAAATGAGTCTTGTTAAATTCTAGATAAGATACAAGTTATTATAATATTAAATTTGTGATTAATATCATATTTCTACTGTTATATTTCTTTTATATTGAATATTTTACAAATCATATAATTTAATTTTTTCTAAAATGGTTTCAATTTATTCATTGTTTATTTATATAGTTGGGTAGTATGTGTGAAATTAAATACATTGTATTGTATTAATCTATTTTGTTATGTGTTTTATTAAAAAATGAAATACTTTGAAAAGATGATATAAATTTAATTAAATAATAAGAGTCAATTAGTGTGTTAAAAACATTGATAAACAAGAACACGAATTGGTGTAAAGCCAAGTGTTGTTGTAAAAGACATATTTTTATCAATATCATCATAGTCTTTATTGAAATCATCCCATGTTTTTCCTTTTTTCTCATATAAATATGGTCTTAAATAGAATGCATTATTAACACGATAAAATGTTTCATCATCAAACACCATACGAATTGATCTTAATTTACAATAAACACCTTCTTTCTTTTGATAACATCCATAATTTTGATATCCATCTTTCATTATTGAATATACAAAAAAATCATTGTCATTAGTCCAATTCATATCACTACTTATTATTTTAATTGGAACAGTATGAAATGATCCAAAAATATCATTATTTTTTGTAATAACCATTCCTAATATATTCTTTCTTCCATATACAGTTGATTGAAATGTACGTTGGTTAAATCCCATTGTATCACTGTCATAAATCATTTCAAACTTTTCACAATTTGTCCATGATTTTATTGAAAATAACGGTGTTTTATTGGAGTTCATTTTAACTATTTCTTTCATTTGTTTCTTTTTGTTCTCTTCTATCATTCCAATCTCTCGTTTTTCTTCTTTTACTGCATCAATTTCACTAGTAACATTCCCTAATTCTTCTTTTAACTCTTTTTCTCTTCTATTTAATATTTCCATCCGTTCTTTCATTTTCATTATTTGTTTGTTAATACTCTTAATCTTTATCATTATTTTTTCTTCTTCTCCATCTTTAGATTCTTCCCTTATTCCTTCACTTTCTAGTGTCTTATTTTCTTCATCCATTTCTCTGCCATGTCTCAAGTTCTCTCCTTTTTAAATCTTATTATTCTCTTTCACTTTTCTTTTCACTTTCTCTTTTGTTTTCTTTTTTTATTATCATTTTTATCTAACTCATTAAATCACTTTAAATTAATGATATTATGAACTCTCACACCTTTACCTAACATCTCATAATATGGCTTAATAAAATATGTATTGTTTTTATCAATAAAAACTTATAGAAACCAATCTCCTCTTTATAAGACTATTATAACTTCATTAAATATTATAACTCATATCCTTAACATTGTACTTATATCTAACTATAATAAAACTAATTTCCAAACTGGTAATTTCAAGACTCTTTTTTTTGTTAGTTACTGATTTGCTGAACATTAATCTCTTTAATTTCAAATAACTTTTACCTTTAAACTACTAACTGTTATCTTCTTATTATAACAACAAAATTAAGTTAGAGCCAGTAAAAACTGAATTAGTATTATAAGAGAAGAACAGTGAGAATTTAAAAACAAACCTAGCTTTCTATCCTAATAATTTTTGGTAATGATTAATAAAAGAATAATGGTTGCTTAAAATTATTATAGCATATACTATTTTCATTTCTTCATAGAATGGTATTATTTATTTTTGAGACTTAAGTCCAACATCGAGTTGTGAAGAAACACAAAGTATTTTATTGAGTAATGATTCTCTTTCCATTAATAAGTTTTCTGAGTCAGAAAGGTATGAATTAATGGAGAGAATAGAATAAGAGAAAAATGACTTAACATCACAAGGAGATAAAACACTATTATTTTGAATAACTCCAATTCCTAATTTTTTATATTGCCATATTGAAATATGATAAACGCCACTTATTAGACAGACTACAAAAATTGTTTTGACTTTAGAATTGAGAAGGTGTGTTGGATTATATCCTATGAAAGTTGTAAATACAACAAGAATATTATTGTATAATACTTCATCAATTTTTGTTGTTTGGGTTTTCAAAACTTGGTGATAATCAATGTAATGTATAGTTTGATATTGAATTTTATATTCAATAACTTTACTATCATTACTTTTTCCAAGAAGATTTATAAAATCAAGATAACTAGAACTTGGCTCTTTTTTTAATTGAATAAGTTTGTTTATTGTCAAAGTATCTTCAGAAATATAAACAATACCAACACAATAACATTTGTCTAAAGAAATTGAATCTAATTGGTCAATAAGCATTTGGTATTTATTAGTATCAAGGTTATAAATTAGACTATTATTTAAATTAAATAAACCATTGAGAATAACAAAAGCTTGTTGTGATAAGTTATATTCCTTTTCTATTTTACTACTTTCATTTTGATGTTGGTGGATAGTGGGAATTATTTAAATTAGTAATAACTTCTATTTCATTTAACGAATTCGTTATTTTCTTTTCTTTATAGAAAGAATGCTCTTTTGTATTTTGAATGAGATTGTATTCTGTTTTAAAATAATCATTTAAAGAGTAGTCTATTAAATCATTTTCGATTTCATTATCAAAGTTAGTTGATATTTCTGTATCTCTTTCTTCAAAAATATTTTTTTCTTCATAACTTATTAATGAAATATTTTTGTATTTATCATCCATATCAACTGTATTATTTGGTAAAAATACTTGATGGACTTCAAAAATATTTATTCCAAAAACATTTCGAATAACCAAAAATAATGTTTTATCAGAGTTTTGATATAACGAAATAATTTGTTGTGTTTTTACAATATGAATAATAGCTTTTAATGATTTTAAGTAGTTAATGTCTACTTTTCTACAATTGTATTGTGTAAATGTACACAAAAGTATATCATAGGCATCCTAATTGTAAATTTTCATTTTTGAGAAAAGGAATGTTTTCATAATTTAATTTTATAGTATCAAATAATGTGTTCAGTGTTTTATTTGAAATTAAAGTTAGAGTGTTAGAATTAAAAAGTAAAATCTTTTGAATCATAAGAACTGATGCTATTTGAACTTTGATTGATTTATCAAAATTACACTTTTCCAATAAAGAAGATATGATATAGTCTGTTATTCTCTTAGTAAATTTAAAGCTCTCTTTTGCAATTACTTCTACAATGAGTATTATATTTTCAATAGATTCATCATCTTCCTTAGTACAATCATTTAATAAACAATTAAATAAATCTTCTTGTTGTTTTATAATAATGTCATCGTTTATTTCATTTAAGTTAAGTTGATTTTCTATCATAATAAAAGTCATACAACACGACCACATTATTTCTTTATGATTACAAAAAGTTACAGGTAATTTTGAAGCTAGAATATAACATTCTTGTAATTTTTTAATTTGGATTTCATTTAAACAAAAGTCTAAACTTTGAAGTAAGCTAAAAAGAAAATGAAGTAAATCACTAAGATGAGAATCAAAATTTGGTGAAAGGAGATTATTAACTTCTTTACTTGAAGTACTGGTATCTCTTTCTTCCTTTTCTGAGGTATGCGTAAGGTATGTTGTTATTTTATTTACTTCATTATTAAAGAACAATACCAATTTGTCAAATGTGTTCCAAATAAATTGGACAATTCCATATTGTTGAAAAAAATAGAAAGGAAGAATATTATCAACTATCAATAGAAAGGATTCAATAGAACTATCAGAAATTATAGATGTAATGCATGAAATTAACTCTGGTGTATTGTTTAATAAATGAAAGAATTGGATCATTGGAGGAATACACAGTCTAGAAATGAATAAGTCTTGAGAAAATTGTAAATTAAATATATGATCAAAGAAAAGTTCAAAGAAATCAAATTTGTATTGTGTTTCTTTTGTTGTTTGGAAGAAAATTAAACACACTTGACACAACATAGTATTTACACTTCGATAATATTTGACAGAGTCTTTCACTCCATAAGTTGAAAAGGTATGAGTAAACAAAGAAAAATAATACTTTAATTCTTTTTCTTCCCAATGTTCTGTGTATGGTCTTAATAAAGAAGATTGGTAACAAAGTATTGTAGATGAAGCTGAGTATTCTTCTTGAATAAGTGATAAGTTAGTAGTTAATGAAGGTAAATGATAATTCATGTTATAAGAAAGAAGAGATTTTAGAACTGTAACACTTTTATTATTTTGTTTTATTTTTGATAATTTTGTTAATATAGAATAAAAAACATGACCGTACATTTCAGCTAGACTGTCTATTACTCCATTAATATTATAAAACTTTGATAATCTAGGTATTAAAGATTCCTCACTTAAACTCCACCTTTCAATTACATTACCATAAAATCTAATATATAAAATAATAATACACATGACCAATTGTCTAGTTATTTGTGCTTGAAATTTCTTAACCATTTCTTGTTGTTCATTTAATTTAGTTAAATAATTAAATAAAATATGTTCTGAACTATTAAGGACAATTAGTGAATTATCAAATACCTTAGGATAAACACTTGCTATTAATTGTATAATATCATTAATTATTGTTTTTGTTGTTTCATTAGTACCAAAATAAGATATGTTTGATTCAATAAACTCCTGAACTTTTGTTATAAAAGATTGTTGAATGAATTCTAATGTAGATTGCTTAAAAGTAGATTTTAATGTTTTAATACGTCTCCAGAATAATATACTGAAGTACCATCGAAGTGATGGCCTAAGAATGTCATGGCATTCTTTAAAATCCCAAGACAGTTGTAAGACAATATTAACTATTCCAATAAATATATGACAAAAGTTATCTACTTTAGCTAAATAAGCAAACCTAGTTGAATTAATTAAAAAGAAAGATAGAAATAATCTAATTAACTGAGGGTTTGTTTGTGTTAATACAAATGAATCATTAAATACCTCTATTTCATTAGCAGGAATTAACGGAATTAATGAAGGAAAAATATTTCCTATTAAAATTGATATAAATGGAATGAAACATTGAAAATACTCATCTGAAGATAATACAAAATGAATAAATAAACGAATAATAACTAATGACTCATTTTGAAGAATATCAAGAGATTTATTCTTTATGAATTCATTTGAAATTTCTTGAGAAAATGTTGGTATTTCTAAGTTAATAATTTCTGTATTTAATTCAAATACTTTTAGATTAAATACAAGTCTAAGAAGATTTGAAATTGATTTGTTTCTTCTATGAGACTTGTAAATAAATTCAAGTAATAATTCAAATGAAATTTTTCTATACTCCATATCAAAATATGGATTTAATGAACTTACCATAATATTCCCTATTTAAATGAATAAATCAAATTTATTAATAATTTATAACAACAAACAAAATGAAAGATATTCATAATCTAACACTCTACAAATATCTTTATTTTGTAAACATATCTTAATTAAAAACAAAAAGTTTGGCATAATAATTTCTTTATAATTAAAGAGTCCAGTTGTTAAACTAGAATTGAGTTCTTGACAAAATTGAATGAACTTTGATTGATTTAATAAACAAATATCAATAATATCTTCAAGACAATTACTTTGAAATAAATGAAAGAGTGAAATGACTTTATCTTTTAAATTCTTTTCATAAAGGAATTTATCTAATTGAATTGATTGACTCATATTTTATAATAATATGATGTTTTATATTTTTCTTTATTTTTTTTTATAATTAATTTTTCACATTCAAAATTGTAATTTAATAATAGTTAATTAATTAGAAATTAATAGAATTTATTTCTACTATTTCTTTATCTGAAGAGAAATACTACCTCCCTTTCTTTATTACTTTTTTAACTCATTATATATTAATTTTCTTTCTTCTTATTGGATTTACAAGTTTTTTATATTTATTTGTTTTAATAATTTTGACTATATTTTATCATTACTACCTCTTTCTTTTATTCTTTATTTTGTTTAATATATTAATAAACACTTTATTTTTCTCATTCAATATATTAACTAAATATTTATTAAATAGTTTATTTTATTCATAACTTATTTCTTTTTCAGACATCAGTTTGACATTTAAATCAACTAAAATAATTTATTTTATCTATTTTTATTTGTTATTCTTTCCTTTTAGCTTTGAATATTATGACATAATTAATATATTTTTTTCATCAACTTTTCTTTTACTGTTTTATTCTTCTCTTATTCAATTTTTTATCAATAAGGAAGTTCTTTTGTTTTCTAAAATAGTGTAAGTATTAGGATTATTGACAATGAACCAAGATCAAAACTATCTTTAAAAAAAAAATAAATTACAATGACAATTTTAATTCTTTATGATTTAAAAGAAGTACTTTGGGGAGATGAGACTCATCAAACACTATAAATGGAATTGAATTTATAAACTCCCCTGACTCCTGAGATATCCAATCCAATACCCCTTCTTTGTCAAAAAGACCTAATGCAATTTCTTTTTCATTTAAAAGAACAAGATAGTTTTCTCTATTAAAAAAGAATAATGGTTTAAATGGAAGACAAAGTGGAAGAAGGGTATTTGTTTTTAAATCAAAGAGAGAAATTTCTTTGTTAAGATATTCAACTAAAAGAAAATCATCTTGTAAAACAAAAGAAAGAATATCATTTGGGAAATGATACAATAAAGTACAATGAAAAATATTTAAAGAGTCTATGTGATATAAATCTCCTTTTAAGGTTGAAAAGTAAGGGTATTGAATACAATTTACTTTTCCTTTAATTGGTATTCTTTGTGATGAATGTAAAAAACTAATTAAATGCAATGAACCAATAATCACATCATCAGGACATAAACCAATAGAATATATTTTCTGATCTGTTTTTACTTGAAAAGACGGAGTTCCATTTTGATATTTAATAATTCTTTGTTCAAAATTAGATAATGTAACTAAAACAAATTCACTATTATTTAATGATAAATGAGGGAGTTGATGTGAAAATGAATAATGTAATACCTCCCCTGGTAATTCAACTGACTGTAATGATTCAATTTGGTCATACTTGATATTATAAATTTCAAATGTTGAACGAGTTAATACATTAAGATGCATATTTGTTTGGAAAACAAATAACGGATATCCATTGGATTGTTTTTTAAATACATTGAAGTGACCAAAAGTTACTGCTTCAACCATTTGTCTTGTAGAAGAAAAATTTTCTGTTCTTAAAGGATTTAATAAGACACTAATCAATGAATTTTGTATGGGTATTTTTAATTCATCTCTGTCACACTCTCTATAATACCTGTTTGTCTGATTATCAAAGAAATAATTTTCTTTCTTTGACTTATTTGTTCTTCTTCTAAGAGTAAAAGGTTTTTGTCTCCTCATTTTTTGTGATTTTATTTTTGTGATTTTCTCTTATTATTTTTTAAATTTTCAGGGTTTCTATTTTAAAAATATTGATGTTATATATAACTGAAATGAATGATTTTTTGAAAAACTAAAAAAAAAAGATTTTCCGTTTAAATGAGTTTCCATACAATAGAAACACTAGAAACCGCATATTGTAGTAACGAACAGTTAGTTAATTCATTAGAAAGAATAGAAGAGAATGTAAGAGTATTTAAAAATAGTCCAAATACTACAGAACTTCCATTGATAAAAAAATTAATAGGATCTGATGAACCTACAATAATATTTATTATTGACACATTATTCCCAATTGAATACCAAATGAAAATACTACAAAGGATACAATGTATTATTAGGATTTGTCAACATTCAATTGAACAAATTATGATGATTATTTATAATAATAATAAAATTGAAGTTGAATTATTTTTAAAAAACGAAATTGATCAACTCAAAACAAAAATTCATAAATTATTCAATGAAAATGTTTTTTCATTGAATACACCAAATGCCTTTGTTAATAGAGCCCTTAGTTCTTGTGTTCCAATAGAAAATAATGGTGGTAATATTTTTGTTATTCATTTTGGTTATCGTAAAGGCGTAGAAAATCTTGAAGAAATAAATTGTGTCCCTCACGACTTAGAGTATGAAAGAACATTTGATAAAATTGCATTATTGGGATATGACTATTGGTTGTATTTTACTAATAAATGTCCTGAACTGAAACAGTTAATTATAAAACGAAGTCATGGTCATATCACAGAAAATAAATGTATTGAAATGACTGAGGATTATATAATTAATGAAATAAGTGAAAACCTAATAAAAAATATTCATCAAATATGTGGAGTAACGTTAGTTATTGATAATGACTATTTAAATTATGACACATTATTTAGTGCGTTTGGGTGTTGTGAAACAATGAACATAGAACATCATAATATAACTATTACTAATGAAAATAGTTATAATCAAGGAAGTTGGGAAGTTAATTCAGGAATAATTGATAACATTAGTCCAATAGAACTCCTTCAATTCAGAGAAATGAAAGGAAGAATTACTGATTTCTATGTTCAACGTACAGAAGTAGAAGCAATTACTAAAAGAATTATTAATGAGATCAATGGGATATTAAAAAACCAAATGTTTTCTGTAGATTTCGGTAAAATCTTTATTGGAAGTGATGAGATTCAATCTGGTTCAGTATCATTAACTCAATTAAAAAGGTTTTCTAAAGGAATTCCAAAGTGGTTCATAAGAAAAAAATATGAAAATGAAGAAATAGAAATGTTTGGATTACTAAAACACAATGTTTTTAAACAAAATACATATCTTGAATCATTTTTTACTTTTGTCACTCATTATTCATTCTTTAGAACAGCCAAACGATTAATTCTATTTGATTTTGTAACTAAAACGATTGAAAATAAACAATTTATTATTAATGACTGTCATATTGTTCATGAAAGTCTTCGTTTTAATCAAATTTTATCAAATGGATTAAATTATAAAGAAGTGGTAAATTCGTTAAAAGATCATTCATGCACTGATCTATGTCGATTAGCCCGTTTACCAATTCTTTAAATGTACAACTTTAAAAAGTCACTTTTTTTATTCTTAGAAATATCTCGTATCTCAAAAGTAAATATTTTCAAAAAGAAAAGATTGATAGAATGATGGGTATCTTTTTCTGGGTATTTTATATCTAAAACATGAAATGATGAATTTTTTATGGTTTCCATGAGTAGTTTTTTTAATAAAAAATAAGAAATGATAAAAACAGAAGTATTTTTTTACTATAGAACAAAAATTAATTTATAAAAAAATAAAAAATACTTAATTTGAAATAATAAATATATTAAAAAAAACGATAATGAAAGATGAAGTTAAATAATACAAAGAATTAATAAAAAATGTTGAGAAGAAACTTATAAGATAAATAAATGACAAACAATATGAATGAGAAGACAGGTTATATAGAAGATGGCCATTATTATTTTATCACTCGTTCTATGTGCAGTAATGGTGGAGATCCAAAAGTTAATGAATTTATTAGAACCCATACTGCTTATGAATGTATAAAAAGAAGATGTGAATCACACCCTGAAGATGATTTTTATGGGTACAGAGAACGAAAGAATGGAAAAGGAGTTGGAAATTATATTTGGTTAAAGAATAAAGTTGTTATTGAACTGATTGATTCTTTTTCTAATGCATTATTATACCAATTCCACCTTAAAAAAGGAGATGCTATTGGATTTATTAGTAGAAATAGGTATGAATGGTATATTGCTCAATATGCAATGCAAAAGAATGGTATTATTCCAGTTCCACTATACGCTACTTTAGGAGAGAAAGCAATAGATTATATTGTCGGTTTAATGAAAATAAATATAGTTATTGGTTCTCTTGATAATACCTTAGTATCTTTATCTAAAAGAAATTCATCTCTTCAATTTATTTTGTTTGATCATGAAGAAGTAGGAAATCTTATTGCACCCTCAAACACTTTATACTTTGAAGATTTATTAAATGTTGGAAGATCTCATACTGTAGAAAGTGTTTTACCAAAAATGGAAGATATTTGTTTGATTGTTTTTACATCTGGAACTTCTGGAACACCAAAAGGAGCTATTCATACATTTTATTCATTTTCTCATGGGATTAATTCTATTAATGAAACTCAAATCTTTACAACTGGACCAATGAGAAATGAAACAGTTTTTTCTTATCTTCCATGTGCTCATGTTCTTGAACAACAAACATCTCAAGGATTTATGTACGGAGGAGGAAGAGTAGGTTTTATTTCAGGAGGTATATCTTCATTAGTAGATGATTTAAAGTTATGTCAACCAACTTATTTCTGTGCAGTTCCTCGAGTACTTCAAAGAATTTATGATGTATTTCATCAAAAATATCTTGAAATGGGTTGTGTTGTGAAAAGAATATTTGATATTGCCTTTTACTTCAAAAGTAATGCTCTTCGATTAAATACAACAACATACATTGATTGGGATAGTATTGTCTTTCATAAAATTAAAGAACAATTTGGTGGTAAATTAAAATTTATTTTTAATGGAGGAGCTCCTTTAACTTATGGATTATATGAATGGCTTAGAGTATGTACAGGAGCTTATATCATGCAATCATATGGATTAACTGAATCATGTGGAGGTTGTACAACTTGTTTACCAGGAATGAATGATCCACAAATCTTATCATGTGGAAGCCCTTGTGATCGAGTTAAATTACGTTTAACTAGTGTTCCAGAATTAGAATATTTTGTGGAAGATAAAATACCTTGTGGAGAAATAGAATTAAGTGGAGGTCCAATATTTAAAGGATATTATTGTAATGACCAAGCAAATAAAGATGCGTTTACTGAAGATGGATATTTTAAGACAGGGGATATTGGTTCTGTTGCTAAAGACGGTTCTTTAATTATTATTGATAGAAAGAAAAATCTATTTAAATTAGCACAAGGAGAATATATTGCTGTTGAACCATTAGAAGGTAAATATGATTCTTGTTCATTTGTTTCACAAACATTTATTCATGGAGAAAGTACTGACTCTTTTATTGTAGGAATTATAGTACCAGAATATGATATAGTTAAAACATGGTTAAAAACTAAAGGAGTTGAATATGAATCAAAAGAAGATATTATTAAAATATTAAATACATCAATGAAAAAAGATATTTTAGGAGAAATTAATAGTTATGTAAAAAGTTTAAACGTTCCAAGTTATGAATTAATTAAAAATGTATATTTCATTGATGAACCATTTTCAACACAAAATGATCTTCTTACCCCATCATTTAAATTAAAGAGAATGAATTTAAAGAAACATTTTTCAGATCAATTAGAAATATTAAGAAAAGAAATTTTAACTATTCTTTAAATTGAATTTTTATAATATTTTCTTAGTTGACTTTTCTTCTTTCTAAAATTGTTAATAAAAAAGAAACTAAACAATTATAAAGAAATTCAACACCAAAAAAAAGCTTACAATCACTGAGAAGG